GCCCCCCCCCCCCCATTTGATCCTGATTCATAAACATTTCTTTAGGTTTGGGAGGGGTTTTTTGTAGTTTTTACTTTAATGGACCAAGGAATGAACTTGTCATCCCACAACAGAATATGATTTAATTGATCTGACTTGGTGAACTGTGAGCAGCCCAGGACAAAAAAATGTGTGTGACAATGAACTGAGTACTCCTAGATTACTTTTGGTTTACATTTCCAGGTTTGTCTACTGTTTTCTCAAGTTAAAACATTGTAACTGATACTCAAAACATACGTACTCACCAAAACATATTTTGCTTTCTATTACACACAAAAGTCCAATAAAGGTAAGTATCTAGCAATGGAAACAGTGGGTATCGCTCCCCAGGAAAGAGCATTTCTCCTACAGCCAGGGAATGTGGAAGTTTTCATTATTTTTATTTCAGTCATTATGAAGTATGTGCTTTTTACAAAAAACAAGTTCCAAAATACCATGTGATGCATCTAAACTAAGACCCTCTGAAGGTGCCAAGCCTTTCACACACAAAGAGAATATGTACCAGTTTGCAGAATTACATACAGCTCTCAGCTTGAACTATTCTGTCACTAACATTCAGACTCCAAAACCAGGTTGTGACCCTTGTTAGACTTTCTGAAGCTCTTTAAATGTCACACAACTAAAGCACCAGGAGCTGAGATTCTATGAAAGTATTGGAATAGCCTCTGAACTTGATTAAACTGCTACTTCCCCATGCAAGTGAGCCACATGAGATGGGATGAAGAGGCATAGCCCTGGTACCCAAAACCATTCTGTCTCACCAACTATGGAGATAGCCCACTGCCCTGTTCTCTCAGATGTAGAACATTTTTCCCTACTCCTTCTCCATTGATTTTTCTTAATCCTGCAATTTTTGGTGGCTAGTTTCTTGGGATGCCCCTTGTGTAAAAGAGATCCTAAACCCAAGGAACATATTTTTCTAGGTTACTCTCTCCCCACTCCATTTGATGGCTTTCCTTAGGCTCATACAACCCTGTCCAGACCCCTCCAAAATAAGTGACAGACTTTGCCTGATTTCAGCCAGTTTTGGAGAGAAGGCACAGAGTGAAGAAGGACTCCTAACCTTTTTCCAGGCCCTTCTCTGTCCCTAGCAGGGGGCTTTCCTGACTGCAGGGTATGAAACGTTCGAAGTACAGCCTACGAAGCCAAAAAGTATCATACAAAAAAAAAAGATCCAAACCCAAACTATTTCATACAGACAAAAAGTTTAACGAGTAGCAGGCACAAACTGCAGTTGTCAGGTTGAGCAGTGCCATGGCCAGCACCAGGCAGCTCCCAACTGCTGGACAAGGCTTCAACATGAATAAAGGCTGGATGTTAAACTGATAAGGCTACCTTAGAAATTTACCTGCAGCATCTCATTTGGTTGATTTCTCAACCAAGGTTTAGGGGTTTGATCCTCAAACCTCTCCACTTGGGATGGTTCAGTAACAGAAAGCAGTAAGGAATGGCCTATTCACTGAAAGGACCTGATCATGGAAGGAAACACAACAGACTCCAGGTTGCTCTCACTGCAGTGCCAGCCTGTGGCGTGACAGGCAGAGAGCTCTGCAGTTACTAACAGCTATTGTCTTACTGCTTAAAATCATGGGTTTGGAGCAAGCCTGCCTGGTGCTTGAAAGAAGAGCAGGACAGGGCTACTGGTGAGTGAGAGATCTGCTTTTAAGACACATCCCTGCCCAAGGGAGAAAAAAAAAGGGGGAGTGGGGTGATGATGATGGGAGGGAGAAGCAGAGCACAGTGATGGGAAGGAAACATATGACATTAAAGACATAACACAATTTCCACAGAGACAAATCAATTAAAAAAAAAAAAGTGATTTCAAGAGACCTAAATATCCTCCTGGTAATGAAAGGAAAAGGCAGTGTGTTATATTGAAAAACAAGTCTAATAAACAGTAACTTCATTATACGGTGCATCATTAGCTAGCAAAAATCTTCACAGGCTACAAACAGAACAAAATGTTTCTGCTTTTTCTTTTTAAAATGCTCAAAGCTCACTAATGTGCCACAACTCTTGTAAGAGACAAGACCACACAGTAAGACTTAGATCTTCAAAGGCATTGAGGAGGCTGTGGGAGCTCTGGGTCTCTCAGCAGCAGCCCTTACAGTTCTGCCTGGCAAGGCTTAATACGAATTTATGAATTTACTATCAACTTACTATGGTGCACAGCTGGTCACTCTTGGTGACAAGCAGGTCTTGCAGTCCTCCAGAGAAGTACATAGCTTAGCATCTTGTTCACCCCAGAAGAAGCTCTAGAATACTACCAGGAGGCTGTCAGTGTCTTGGTAAACCTCAGGCAGACGCAAGCCTTCTCCTTGCATCCTGACCCTGGCTGGCTATCTGCTTGGGAAGCTGCTACCTCATGTAGCAAGACTTTGCTCCTGAGCACCAACGCTCTGGCTACCCGGGCTGAACAGGCTCCCAAGGCAAGGAAAGGCTGAGCAAGGCCTCCCAGGTGCTAAAGGCAGTTCCTTTGTGCCTGAGACAGATGAGGACAAACAAGCTCTGAGAGACAATGAATTATGAGGGCAATATAAAAAGGCTGCTGATAATTTGGCCCTGAACATCTGTTTACTGTGTAACAGCTATTTACAGAAACATGCTAAGTGGCACTCTCCTGAAGTTTGTTTTATTTGATTACTCTGTTTCCTGGCTCAGGTTTGGTAGATCAGCTCTCCCAGACCAGTGGAGGTGGTTAGAATCACCTGAAAACCAGTCTCCTTTTCTGCTCTGATGTATGGTCTCAGCCTAACCTTTTGCTGGAAGGGTGTGTATTAGAACACCTGAACTGTATTTATTTCACTTTCTATGTTGCTAACTGTGAGCAGAACTGTTTTCTTTGTGAGTCCAAAATAACCCCTGCTGAAGCCAAAACAGAGGATGTGATTTGGCCTTAGTGTATTTCTCTGCGTTATTAAAATCCTGGTGTTCCTTTCTCCTGCTCTGTTTAAGATCAAATTGATGTTTACCTTCCCACATCTCCACAGCTAACTAAATAGTAATAAAACAAAATGGACACACAATAGTTAATGTGAACGAGCCATGGCTTGAAATAGCAGGTAACAGATGGAGACAAAAGACAGTGACTATCCTGACGCTTCTATCTTTAAATGTTTGTTTATGCTAAAAATACGCTTCAGCCTGGCGAGGTTGTCTTTGCATACCACCTTTGCTGTAAACTTAACCTATACGTCAGAACCACCCCCAGCCCAAAGCCAAACACTGCAGACATGTTTGCAATCATCAGGAGTTCTGCTATCAGAACCTGTAAGACTGGGTTTAAGATTAAAAACCCCAAACAAACCAAACCCAGAACTAACATAGTTTCCAGAATTTTACTTTCTAACTCCATTCAGAGTGTCTGTCTGCTTCCCATTGATGCCAAAGACGACATTCCCATGTAGGTGGGTGCGAGTCCTATCCCCACCAGTGGGCTGAGGCCCAGGAGTGCAGATCTCTGAGGCCTTTTGCCTGGGGAAGGATCCTGGACCCTGTTGCATGAATATCACTCGTAAGCCAAGGGTGAAATCCTGACATAGAGATCAGTGCCACCACGTGCATAAAATAAACCTCCTACAATGCCACTGATGGTTCCGCTTACGCCTCTTATACCAAGGTATTAACTATCTTAGTTTAGACTGTATTTTTATACCACTGTGCAAAAGTATGATGGATAATTCTGGAATAAAAGGGCTGGCTTGGAAAATGTCACTGGAGATGCACACTTGCATGCAGATTTTGCCGTCTTTCCAAAACAGGCATCAACTTTACCTTTCTTTAATATCTACGTTATATACACACCACAGGCTCAATTTTCCCATATTGGTGCTTCTCTTCATGCTCGAACTCCTTACATCTACAGAGTCCCTGAAGAAGCAAAACAGTTTTTCCTGATACTGAACATAATGTATGGGATTCTTCCCCAGCTGTTGGCTTACAGATGTGTCAACAAGCCAGAGTTTTTTATGAAACCAAAACAAGAAGAAAAAACAGACTAGCACAACTGTTTTCAGCTCCTCGTTCTGGCTGCGTATATACCGGGGTTGGGATGCAACCGAACTGCTCCACTGGAAGCGGAATGAAGTGTGTGAGATGTGTAAATCTGCACAGTTGTGTAAAGTTGCACGGTCTGTTTTGTTTATCCTACTCGAAAAGGGAAATAAAGACAACTGCCTTCAGCACCACTTCTCAACATCTTGACTTTGCGCTGCAGCAGAGCTGCTGGTTCCCATGGCTATTTTTGAGTAAGCTGCTTTGACAGTTTTAGAAATACTGCACGAAGTTAAATAATAATAATGATGTCAGTGTTTAGCCTCCACACCCTGAAGAGTATCAGTGGCAGCAATCCCTACGCAGAGCTACTGTAGAATGGGAAGGTCGTTTTGAGGTGTGAAAAATTAACATACATAACTCTGTCACATGCACATCTTTTATTTGTCAAAAAGTATGTCTTGTGGGTCAGCCTTGTTAAAAATCCCAAGAAATCTCTTTAAGAAGCAATCAACTCTTACGGTAAGACTCCATATATGATAAGCAAATCATATAGTTTTGTTAATTCTTTTAAGGATTCACCTCTGCAAGGACTGCTCATCTGCTTGAAGTTAAGCATGTGCTTAACTAGTTTAACTAGCTCCTCTGAACTGGGCCTGGGGGCTTGTTACCTCGGGCAGGTGGGCCTTACACTGAAGAATGCAGTTTCAGAGAGGGGTTTTGGTTCTTCTCTGCGGCTACTTTTGCTAATGCTGTTGGTCCTAAACAAGTAGCAGCAAATACAGTGACCTTGGTTTGTTGGTTTATGTTTCTGTTTGCAATTACAACTATTTCTATGCCTTCTATGTGTATTTACACTAAAAGCAGTACACTTAAGTGCCTTTCTCACAGGTGAAATTAGCTGATACATTTTAACTGGAAACACGCTATTTGGGAATGTTGACTTTTGGGTGTTTTGATTTGAAGACTCTTCTTTTTAAACCTAATCAGTAATGAGACAGGATCAGCTCATGTACATGCATGTTGCACCCCGTGCAAGGGGACTTTGAGAGCAGCAAGAAACTCATGCTGTAAGGCTCCTGCTGCACGCTGAGCTGTGCTTCACAGCAGTGCTCAAAGAGAGACCCCAGGTTTCATACCTCCAGCCAAAGGGGCCGGTCCAAGACAACCCCAACCCACCTCAGTCAGTGCCTCTTGGTGAAAGGGAGTTCAGCAATAATCCCCTCTGGCACCCAGCCTCCTGCCATGCTCACTAGAATTAGGGGTAGCTCCATCCCAGCACATCCTCCCGTGAAAACCAGCCCCAAGCTCTTGGGCTGTATCAGGAGATGCAGGCTCACAATCGAGTATCCGAGCCACCGGTGTCACTGCTCATGTTTTTAAAGAAGCTTTGAGTACATTCAAGGTGAATTTAATAACCTCCTGTTATCCAGAAAAGGCAAAGTACAGAAAAAATAAAGATCTCACCTGCACTTGTATCTATTATGGTCAACTCATGTTAACAGAATGTTTTGCTTTAATACTTGACTTACATTAATACCTCACATTATTACACGTATGAAGCCAAATATGACGCTAACTTAGTTGCTTACAACCTCAAACCTTACTCCCAATACACATTCCAATAAATTTATTCTGTAAAAACAATACATTTTTTTGTTTTCTTTTTTTCTTTCCTTTTTTGTTTTTTTGTTGTGGTTTTTTTTTTTAAGTTTTTTACAGTAAACTCATCAACTACAAACCTTGAATACGCAAAAGATGTTCCAAGGACAAGCATAACAAGGATTGATAAAACCAGACTAAATATGTTTTCACAATAAAAGCTGGCATAAAAATAAATAAAAATCTCTATTATCACAATAGCAACAATAATGTACACAGAGTAATGGATCTGGAATGCTTACTTACTAGTCTAGTTCTATTTCCAAACGGAAAAAAAAAAGCCAGAATGACAGCATCCTTTTTTAAGCCTTTCATTATTTAAAATTGATGTTTTCTTTTGGTTTCCCATAGGGTTCTATATCACAGTAAGCTTAAAAATGGAAAGCATCCAAATGAACGATTCCAAATTGTGTTGGCATTGGAAAAAATCCTTGTATTAATCTAAAGAAACACAAAAAGACTTTCACTAACTCCACATATAGGAACTAAGTCAGATAGTGTACATTACATCATGATTTTGAGAAGTATTAAGAGTATAACTAGCTAGGTACTTCTAATAAGGAAAGGTATTTTATTACATTATTGAACTTGGCGGTGATCTCAACTGAAGAATTTTTCTTTTATGTTGTAAACTGATCAAAAATCAAGAAAGTATGGATATAGGGAAATCTAAACTTATGTTTGTACGTGGAAGATATCGTAGGATTGGATGGAGGGGACTAATTTCTAAGTTTTACTCGTTTTTAAAAAATGCTGATTTAGAATGATATAATTTGGAGTTACACCTTTTCTGCCTAGAAAAGGAATCGAGAACATGTTCAAGTATGCGGTATCTTCATAAACCTCAGCCACTGGTAAAGGGCAACTTCATGCAACCAAATAATATGAAAATCAAAAAGTAACCCTTAGAAAAAAGGGTAAAATGTCATTTCTGCAAACACAACAGATAGGAATGTGAATAATGTGCATACAAACTGGGATGCTGTTGATGATACTAATGAACAGATGTGGTGACTCATATCAAATCCAAGAATATTAGACAACCAAACATGTAACCTTCTTGTGTTTTCCCTTAATATTCAGCAGTCATTATGTTGGTTAAGTCTGAAAGAGAGAGAGAGAGAAAAAAGATACCACATTTAATGTAAGAAAAAGCATACTGCAACAAACATGATATAATTAATGTCTTACTGTCACACTTCAAAGGCACAGGCTCAAGGAACCACCTGGTCTGTTCCAAGAGAAATGTTTTTCTAGACAAAACTGCTTAGGCTACATCAACTAAACAGACCACTACAGAATAGTAAAGAACACAGTTTAAAAGCAAATGTTTAGGGCTTTATCCAAATAAGCAGCTCCAGTCACAGATGTGGTTGCTTTTTTGTTTTCCCCAATTGCTTCATTACGAATCTTCACACACAGCCACATTCTGCATTTTTCCACTACTCGAGATCCCTGCCAGGCCTTGTGCAGAAGCTCAGGCTCTGCTGGATCCCTGAGCGCCTTGTGAGGTTGAGAACAGCCTTGTGCTCAAACAAACACTCAGCAAGCATGAAGAAAACTGAACAGTTTTCCTAGCTAACAGATCGGAATGCTGCTTCTGAAAAGGACAGAGTGGAGTTGGCTTGGAATTCTCCGTAAGGCAATGACAGAAAAGGAAGAAACTCCCTCTTCGTGACTGAGTCAAGGTCAGCTCTTGCCTTCACTGACATCAGTGGGAACAGGATCACTGTCCTCATGTGATCATGGCAAATGTCTCCAAGTTTTGGTTTCTTCATATTAAGCAGAGATAGCAAAACTCATCAAAAGGCACAGGACACTGTTTTGTGCAGCAACATGCTGACATGCAAGGCTACATGCCTGTCTAACCCTGAGCAAGGCAGCCCTCTCCTCTGTAAAGAATTCTGAGTGTGAATGCTTGTCCACCCACACCCTGACAGACAGAAAGAAACACAACACAAGCAGGATGAAGGAATTAGTACTGTGATCATCCAAGGAAAAAAATGGTTGTCAAGGAGTAAGTGGGGGGTAAAGGTTAAATCCTCTGGGGAGATGGAATTTTCGTTTTACACAGGATCCAGAGGAGAATATGAAGACATTTTGACATCCCTGTGCTAGCAGTCTACTGCCTAAGCTCTCCTCCATGGCTGCAGCAGACACTGCTTCTCTATCCAAGAGGATAAGAGCATACAAGTGCCCACTTGGCAGCCTGGAATTCCAACCTGGTTGCTGCCGCTCTGAACTAACACAGAACTCTGTCTGTTCAGCGTGGTTCTTCTCTCCTGCGACAACAGGTTTGCAAACAGTAAGTAATGGAAACCTGCATTTGCGGTGTGGGAGGTCCTGGGACACCCTGACTAAGGACACATGATAATGGGTTATTACAAAGTGCTCCTGCATGTGATGATGGCTTACAGGAACAGCCTGAGCCATGCCTCCTCCCAAAGGTGTGACAACGTGCTGCTCAGAGTACCACCTTTCATCGACCCCTCTTCTGCTTAAGAGTCACTGAGATTATACTTACTGCTGCTTTGGAGACATGGCTTAGAAGGGTTCACTCATTGAAACAACTACAAGTGATTAGTCAATCAAACCACACCTTCTGCTAAAGTTCTTAATGACAGCTGCTACCCAGCCCTGATGGATGCTGGAACAGTCAGTTTGTGGGGTACCACTCCCAGCTCAAGTAAGGAAAGCTGTCCTTTTGGACTACGAAACCTTTGCACTTACTAACACCAACTCCCCTCTGGGCTAAAGCTGGAAGATTGGGTAGGCACCATTCTTATGTGGGGTGCTGGGAATATTAATCCTTCCACTCCCCAGTGTCTCATGGATACACCTATTGTGGCACAAGAAGGACAATAAAGGGCTGGGTAGCAAATAATCCTCTAGGATTTTCATGGTTCCCTGTGCCATCTTCCAGCATGACACACATTCTGTCTCTCAGGTGCCCCAGAAGTTGACAGTTCTCCCCTGATGCAGGCAGCCCCTGGGGCCACGCAGGGACTTTGGCTCCTTCCCCTACCCAGGCAACTCAGGCTCCCGCTGCTCAACAAGGCTGTGGCAGAGCTGAGCAGTTTCCATGGTCTCCATGGTTTCACATCTCTCCAGAAACAGATCAACTCTCATCATCTTTGAACAAGCTTTACTGTATGATTGGTGCAACATGTGCTACACTGACCAGTGCTACTGCACACAAAACAAAGAGCACAGAACCCAACTGATTCCAGTGAGGAATTTTCAGTCATCAAGAAAATTGAAGGATGGAGAACACAGAGAGAGGACATAAAGCTGTATTCACAAATTGCCTTGTTTTTTCTGGCACTTCCTCAACAGTGTCTGGCAACTGACTCAGCCACCTTGTACTATAAAAGCTCTTGCTGGATGGGCAGAAGGATAATTATTTACTTGCTCTGTATGATCATTGTTATCCCACGTTGATTTAAGATCAAAATGTTTACAGGATTCAAAGTACACAGAGGTGCAAAGAGTGTATTTCATCTACACCAGCTGCTTTAATCTCAACTTGCATTCAGACATTTATGTTTCTCCTGAGTTATGTCCCATGTGCCATTGTTTTAGCAGCGCTGTTATCCTGAGCTACGGGAAGGCAGCAGACAACACAACTCTTCATACCAGGGTATGCCACTGTTTGATTTTTACAGAGCAATTTCTACTCTGCAATGGTTCTGACACATTTTTACAAATGTTACCTTTTTTGGAGGGGTAGATTTTAACTCCAAATTGCAGAAAAATAATGAGACAGAAACACATACTCTGTTTTCCTTTTCTGGAAAGATGCCCACATAAACACTTTTACATTGAACAGAGCCCTAAATGCTCTGCTTTTAATGTTTGTTGTAAAACCCCAAACCTGTTACGCAGCCCAACCAATGTTATTCTTGAGAAGTAAAGAAGGAAGAGTGAAGGAACCAAACATCTCAAAACCACATCAGAAGGACACAGTGAACCTGTGTTTCTCTGGCCAATTTGGCCGTGACACTTGTCTTTCACAGCAGTAACTGGAATTGTTGCTACCCTGTAAGAACATCACAACAGAAAATATGTCCTGGACTCAGGCTGTTTTAAATATGTTCTCCCAATTGCAATAGTATCAGATGGCAGTAATTTTGGACCAGATTTTGATCCCCTTATTCATGCTGGCAAGCGGTCACCTCCACAAATAGATCCACTGACTCCCATGTTAGTAACTGATTGTCAGTGTGAGTAAAAAGATCACAGTCCTTTACCCCACTTTAATATTCAGGCTGTAGCAGGAGCAAAAAAAAAAGTATTTAATTTCCAACAAATCTACTATTTTTCAAAGACTCAGTAAAATCATTCACGTCCTGGAAGACAACCACATGCATCTGTACATGAAGGGAACACCTCATTTACCAACACAGGGTCTGGACTGTAACTAAAATAATGGCTACCAAAAGAAAAACTTGCCACATACCCTGAGTGCTGACCTTAACATTCAAATAGTCTCTAATAGGGCAGGGACTACAGGCAGCTTTCAAACGTCTTTATATGGGTATCCAAAGAGTAAAAGTAAAACGCAACTCAGGTGTTCATGATAAAGACTCCAAGTTATGCCAGCCAAGAACCAATGTACAAGTCACCAGAGATTCAAATGTGGAATGTAAATCTGCTGCCATGAATTCACTGGTTTACGAGCTGATTTTGTACCATAGAAAGTAAACAACACAGAGCCATGAATATTCCATTTCCACTGGAATATTCTGTTTATGTGGCATCTTGAGAAAGCCAAAACAATTCACTATTTAACAACAGAGGACTGTTGTGGGAATTTCTGTGACTCTTGAGCTCAGCAAGCTCTGGGATGGGCTGTCTTAACTAATATGCTATTAGTTAATTAGTATTAGATAATAAAACTCTGAGGTTAATGCTTTTCATTTTTCTGGGGAAGGAATCAGCCAAAGAGCAGCTGTAGGAGAAAGAGCTTGAGAAACACATAGTGGCAGGATGCAGTTCTTAACTGGCTGAGTCTGAGGAAGCTAATGCTCTTCTGCTGAGTTCCCGCAGTCCTCAAGAATAGTTGAGAAACTCAGAGATGGACTGAAGAAAAGAAAGCACCTCTGTCAACCCCAGGGATAAAAAAAATCACACGTTGAGCCTTTGAACAGTATGAAATTGGCTGCAAAAGTATCATAGCTTTGGAAGTGCTTTTATTTGCTCTGGGTTTGAGTCTTTAGGAAGCCATCGCTTCACATTTTCAAGCTCTCCTCTACCACCTGGAGGTTAGAAATTTCATTAAAAAATACAGGTGAAGATGCTCCTGCAATCATTTGGCTTCAGCCCTTCAAGCCCTTCATTACCATAACGCTGAGGGTAAGAATGCAATTAAAAGGCAAGGTTCCCTCTGATCTGAAGAGGGAAGCTATGTCTTCACCTTGCAGTCCGTAATAAATAAAAGCATAAAAGATAATGACTACCTCATTACTCGTAGTATTATTAAGAGAAAACTTCTTGTGTCCTGTAGGCAGCTCTCGCACGGTCAGAGACGCTGGAAGTGCAGAGCACAGGACCAAGGGCTCCCCGGGACACAGCCCGTGTGGAGCTGAGCCCTGCGCCTTCCACAGCCCTTACCACTACAGGCATCTTCTAAGCGGCCAGTCAAAACCAGGGGAACGAAACTCGCCCATCACGGGCTCTGCGCTCCCTTTTCTCTGCTCTCTTTGCCTCCATGGTACCTTTCTGAGAACTACTTTAACACACACGCTGCGCGGTGCGAGCGCGGGGCCGGCCCAGCCGCCTCCTGCTCCACGTTGGTGTGTTCCTGGCGCCACCTCACGGCCGGAGAAACGCCCTGAGCGCGATCCTCAGGCCGGAGAAGCGCTGGCTCCGTGTTTGTGCTGCGCTGGCGAGGAGGACGGAGCCCATCTCCACCCTGCGTGTTGGGGGCGCGGTGCTCTTCTCACAAGCTATTAAAGAGTCCATAATCGCATCCATGGTGGTGTCTGTTAGCCATACTTCTGAACTCATGCCTCCGAACAAGAGGCCCATACCCCAACTCTGCAGGCACGTGCTGGCCTTTCCCGACCTTCCTTCCCACAGAAAAGAAGTCCAATGGGCTGCAGGCGCTCAAGGCCTCCGGTGCGCTCCCAGCCTGGATGTCCGGCAGAACGTGGCTGCAGGACAGCAGCTCCGTGCCGCAGGAGGCCAGTGCGGACACACGCTGCGCGAATGGCTGTTCTGCTCCGACTGCAAACACCGTCTCATCGCTCCTTCCCCAAGCGCTTGCGCCTGATGAAGGCACCGGTTTTGAGAAGACACTGGTGTGGCTTTGAGGCTGCCCGGAGGTGGAGTGTCCCCTCCTGGTCCTAAAGAGAACTGCACCACCGACAAAACCTCCGAAGAAACACTGAGGAGCATTTACATGTGAAGTGCTGATTCTGGGGCAGAAATGCCCAAGATGAAATAACTGGATCAGGATGTGATTTCTCCAAACTTATCAGTGCTTATATGTCAGGCTGCCCTCAAAAGCACCTCTCCATCTCTTTTTAGTACATGCTACTAAACCTCCACCTTTCCCACGCTAAATGCATCCAAGATCTAGTTAAAGACTTTAACTCTAGTTGAAGTGTGCTGTGAAGCCCGAGTGCAGAAGTCAGAGCAGTGTCAATCCCTTGCATGGGTGTGACAATGCTGATTATATTTCCGTGGAGCTGGTGCTGGCAGGAAGGACAGACTGCTGGTATTTCAGCACAGAGTCTAAAATACCTGCACTCCTGAAAACGCTGAAGAGCAGCACCATGATGTTCCAGCACGCTGGACTCTGCCTCCAGGGCTTACAAGCATGGCACATACAGATGGAAGAGCTACATGAATGTCACCAGCCACAAAGCCAACATCCTATGTGACTTTTTAGCCACTGAGTTTGCAACTGACCAAACTCAGTAAGGATTTGGTCCTTACATGGAGAACATGACTGAAGTTCACAGCCGTATCCATCGTTGCTGATACAAACGCAGGAAACAAAGCAAGCTCTCATAGCAGCCTTCCAATATCTGAAGGGAACCTACAAGGCCTACAAGGAGAGGGACTCTTCATCAGGGACTGTAGTGACAGGGCAAGAGGTAATGGGCTTAAACTTAAACAGGGGAAGTTCAGGTTGGATATAAGGAAGTTCTTTCTTTACTGTGAGGGTGCTGAGGCACTGGAACAGGTTGCCCAAAGAAGTGCTAAATGCTCCATCCCTGGCAGTGTGGGATGGGCACTGGGCAACATGGTCTAGTGTGAGGCATCCCTGCCCATGGCAAGGGCGCTGGAACTAGATTATCTTAAGGTTTTTGCTCACTCAAACCATTCTATGACTCTGTGATTCTATGAAACTCTGCCACCTCAGATGGACCTTATAGCCTGTTTTCTCACTCAGATACCTATCTGAAGACATGAAAGCATCACAGGGTTCACCGGCCAGAATGTGGGCAACACGTGGACTATTCACTCGCCACGCTCCTCAGCCCCAGACTCACTGTGAGGTGCTGGGAAGGCACAGTCAGGCACAGCATCTCCTTGCATCAGTCACTGGCTTAAGGCAGTGGCTTATTCAGAGCAAATGGGAGAGGCTCAGGGCACGTTACCTTCCTGACCCTGCAAGCCACGTACCGAAGTCTTTTAAGGTGAAGAGCCACAAAACACACACGCTGTACCACAAAGAGACGGGGGAAAGGAAGCTCTGAGAGGAGTGTCTAAGCAGAAGATGAGAGCAGCTCCCCAGAGGTTGTTCTGTGAGAAAGGGTGGAGGCTGAGCCCGCAGCTGGGTGCTGAAGGCAGCCTGGCAATGTCAGAGAGAGCCTGTGCTGGCTGGCTTCCCCTCACACCTGGGGATTCGTGTCACTCAGCAGCTCCTGTGACAGCCCAGCCTGGCTGCTGGCCACGTGGCAGGGCCTTGGCATGGGAGCCACATGAGCACTGGTTCTGAGACGGAGCTGCAAGTGCTGGAGCAGGGAGGCTTGTGCTGCTCCAGTGTCTCAGAAATAGCAGCGGTTGTTAAAGGTGGCTGATGATTAACCAATTCCTATGCCAATTCGCCTGCTCAGCAGCCTTCCTTTCTGTTGTGGTCACAACAAAGTAATACTGACACGAACACACGACTGAAACAAACATCCAAGGAGATCGTATGAAGCTGCTCTGGAGCAGACAGTGTATCCCCTCCTTGGAAAGTCATCTCCCAAGGCAGGATCTGCCCTGAAACCTGTGGAATGCAGTCTGTAATGTGCACATAAACCCTCGTGAACTCCAGAGAAGTCAATGGGACTGCACAAATGTTAAACAAGTATGAAAGGATAAGCAGGCTCCCACTGTTTAGCGAGCCAAAAGGCATTATGCAAACAGTCTGACTCTGCTCTCACATCCATTTTGCATCATTCCAGCTCATGGTTTTGAATAGTTCCTCTCAGCTGACATCCATGCAAGTATTGGAACAAAAATAATGTGTATAGTATCTTTTCCTATTCAGTCACTTCACCAGAGCAAAATTTGTTCCAGTACGGGGACCAGTCCCATGTTTCTGTTCTAGACACATTCTGAGCACCAGAATGCAAGGTAAAAAGGTCTCATGTGGTATGCACAGGTCACTGCAATTGCCCTTCACCCCTGGCTCCACTGCCCCCCCATAGCAAACTGCGTGGGACGTGAATGACATTAAGAGAAGTTTACCCCTTCACTGGTTTTCTGCAAATCTGAAGAAGTGTTTCTTGTGTCATTGCCTGCGTCCCCAGCATCAGAGCTGCTCTTATTTTCTTCCTCTTTGCAGTCCTTATCATCTTCATCTCCAGGAGATTTCCGTGACTGCTTGGAGGATTTCTGCAATGACCAACAACAAAGTTAAAAAGTAAAAACCGAGCTTCAGTCATAGAAAAGCACTTTTCAAATGCATGCAGAATGCTGTCTGATCATCCCCGCTCAAGGTGAATACTGGGGAGGATACGTGGGGTGAAAGGTGTTTTTCAGGTGAAGGAGTTACTGCCATTGCTGAAACAAAAGGAGAAATTCTGTGTTCAACATAGGTTGGCGGCGCAATCGACTGTAAGACAGACACAGTAATAGGAGATGGGTATTAGTGTTGGGTCACCTGTAGGTTTTGTTAGTTAATGAAACAGATGGTGCCAGCTTGACAAAAGTTTTGATTAAACACAGAGATGTAAAATGAGAATAACATTAGCAGAGCTGCTATCCATACTTTTTTTAGTGCTGTCAGCTTTAATATATTAACATTAAAGCCATGTGGAACCAATACATCTTTTCTGCTCCCTTTATGTTATGCAATTCTACAGTACAAAAGGATAAATTGTGGCATTAAGCCACCATTTTCCTAATCCTCTGTTTGCCCAGAGTCTTCTGGAAAGAAGATGGTAGACCAGACCTGAATTTCTAATGTAAAACACACAAAGGGGGTGAAATTACTTAATACATTTTGTTCAGTGGGTGAACCACGAGAATTCCTGCTCTTCCCAAACTGAGCCTGGATCAGGCTGTTTACTTGCTTCTCATTTAATTTAGTTTTCACTTTCAGAGAAGAATAACATGAATGTGACTGAATGTGACTCTGCGACATTTCCCACATCTTTTTAAGCAAAGTACAAACTCAGAGGCACACACAGAACTGGAGGAGTGACTGTAATGTTGCTCCCTTTCACCCAGGTGACAGGTGAGAAGCGTACCTGAACCCAAAGGTGTCCCTATGCAAGGAACGACGTTCACCAGCCATTATGAGACAGTCTGAGACACGTTACTCTTAGCTTCCTCATCTGACCTGTTACTTAGACATTAACAGGGCTGGTAGGTACTACAGTGCAGGCCTTTCATCTACAAATTGAGCACCCTCCTCCCTGCTTAATTAGTCCTTCTTTCCCCCCATTCTGTATCCTGTGCTGAAGTATTTTACACTCAGATACAACAGGAGCAGTTGAGCACATCTGACCTACCGTATCTTTTAGCATGGCATCTGGGACACTCACACTGGAGAAGGAGAGGGAAGCTTGAATTCTCCTGGACAGGAACCAAACCTGAATTCATGTCTCCCAGGAGGCACACTCCTAAGGCTTGTTTTGCTCCTCATGGGGAAATACTTAGCTAAGACAACCAAACCAACCAATCCATCTTTGCCTGGAGCTTCTTTCCAGCCCTTATGAACTTCCCATACTTTCACCCCCTGCTCAAAGTGCGGGCAGTAGAACAGGACAGAGCATTTCAACTACTCTCTCACCAAGGCTGTCACAAAAGCAACAGCACTTCCCTTTACCTTTTTGAACACCATTGTTACAGTACTGCAATCAAAATGCTAAAGAAGAACGAACAGATTGCCATGGGGTGGACTGTATTCTAATTCTAAATGCACACTGGTGACAATGGAAAAACTCAGAAGACAACCTTTGAAGTGTAGGATTTTTTCCGTTTTGAGCCTGCTTTTTCATTCTTTCTTTTTCCTTTTCCATCCTCTTCTACCCGATCACCTTCCTCCTCACTGCTGGCATCTGCTGTATTTCCTCCTTCTCCTTCAGTTTCTGATGAGCTCTGTTGCTGAATTGCCTTTAAAATAACAATAATAACATAAACAGTAAAAACTCCCCACTAAAATCTATTACTTAATTTTTGTTCCATATTGAAGATAGAAATACTTGTAACAGGCAGCTTACACTTCAATCACTATAGTCAGGAAGAGCTCAGGTTATTCTTACAATTACCAAGAAAAAGGGCTGCAAGGGCAATTTTTTCAGACACCACTTGAAAGCAGTTATCACACACAGGTTCTGGGATAGCGTGTTCTGAAGGGGTTACACAGAAACAGAAGATCCAGTAACAAAAATGTGTTTGCCAGAGAACTAAGGGTTGCTCTGTGCAGAGACCTGGCCCTACTCTGGCCAAAACTATGGACAATTTTAGACTTTGGCTGCAATAGGAGAGACTTAGGAGAGAAGACGGCTGTTACAAACCGCCCCCAAAGGGCAAGATTCTGTGTTAGGAAGAAGCAAACACTGACCAGAAGGCTGAGAGCTCTTTGACAGTCCATCTCCCACAGACTATTCACTGGAGTTTTTTTTAAACCCCCAAGTGTATGCAAAACATCTGTAGGGCTGAAAACACGAAACAGGAACCGAAAGGGGCAGCAGCTTGCTTGCAGGTGGTCCGTAACTCTGGTTTGTAAGGTTTTGTGCTAATAATGTAATAGATGTTTGCCTTCTTTTGGAGGTGATTTCTGCCTTCAAAGGACCACATTTTTTTAATGAGAAAAGTTCTTTGGTTTTACCCAGCCCACCAACTATTCTCCCCCTCCAGCTTCACTGACTTTTTTGCTCCGGACATCCTACAGGGAGAGCTGTTGTACAGCGGCAGCTCCTATCTAGTAACAGCAGCTTAAACCTCCACCTTCTTACCCCTCACATCTTTGGCAGTGGTGTCCTACATGTTATACATTACCAATGTAAAAATCAAAACTGCAGTGACCTTACGGTCCATGTAAAATACACTGAACCTGCTATAAAAATAAACAACAGAAAGAAGTCAGAAATTATTCATGTTTATACTGCAGTAAATAAAACCTTCCATTTTTAATTCAACTAAATCTGCTGCAGAATTTTCCACTTCACCACCCCAGAATATCACAGAATGCAGAGGGCTCTGCAGTATGATTAAAGTTCAATTTGTCACAGACTGCAAAACCACAGTTGTCTTTACATTACACAATTACTAAAGCTGTGAAACTTCCGAGCACCACGAAAACCAGGATCTTCCACATCACTCATACCATGTTTACATTGACAAGAACTCCTCAGAGAAGAAAACAAGAACGATGAAGAATACAACTGAAAGTCATTTACCTGATATCCAGTAAACTTTACTCCAGGGTTGTTTTCTATTTCCCACAGGCCTTCATTAAATCCTTTTCGCTTGTTTGACTTCCCAAACTTATCTTTATATTCTTTATATGGGAAAAGGTCTTTGGGCCCCAGGAACGCACTGCATTTTAACAAAGGTAACATTCAAAAAAGGACTTAAATTCCTCCTCTTCAAAAAAGAACCACCCACCATTAACAGTGCTGATGTTTTTCCCTATTCTTTTGTTCATTCCACCATTTCTTTTCAGTTTTATTTATTTGTTTATTTATTTATTTTACACACTGGCTTTGAGTTACTGCTGTGAGTCTGATTTAATGCACTGGCTCACCATCCTGATGTTTGATGTTGCAAAATCATGCTGGGTCTCTCTAGAAACAACTAAACCAAATCTCATTTATTGTATTAACTACTGCTGGGAACTGGCACTGGAACAGTTTATGAAAGGGATTGTATGATGTAATTGCCTGCGATAGCAAGGGACCAAACTTCCAATCCTATGTGTTACAGATCCAGAAAGGCCTAGAAACACCATAGAAAAAGTTAAAGCACATGAGGAGTGCCTAGAACCCAAGAGCCAAAACTTACCCCTTGTACTAAGGGACAGAAAAGTAAGTGGCATTCACTATTATCTATACTGCCAGTAAGCCTGGGAGCTTCGTTCTTGGAGTAAGCCCCCCACTTGCTAGATTCTGTGCAAATACAATAAAAATGCTCTCTGTCCCAAAAATCTTATAATTTCATATAAGACAAGAAACAATGTGTGAATATAGGCAGATGAGTAACACAAGGAAACAATGAGACACACAGGGTGCTGTGGCTAAATTGTTTTTCAGACAGCACAGCAAAGGAGGGATTTTGTGCTCTGCTGCTGTGTAAGTCAGCTCTGCGCTGGGCCAACTAATGTCAGGCACAAGCACCACAACACAGGGAAAAATAATTACAAAAAGAAAGAAGAGTGGTGGTTTATACTCTTTCTTTCTACAGACTTCACAGTAGAAGTCTAACTTCTTATATAAAACTGAAGAAAGCATAATTTCCTTTTCACTGAGTATCTATATCCAGTGTGTTTACTCTGTTTACCCAGTATTACAGTACTGGCATGGCTAATTTAAGTTCAATTAAAAATAGTGAAGGCAAAAAACTCCTTTCATTCCCACATGGAAGATTCTATGTCACTAGTGACTGGAGATGAGCAAGTCACAGTGTCCTTCACTATAATCACTGTCCTACTTTCTTGATGATCTTTGCAATTAACATTAACTCTATGGTCTCCATTACCAGGGGATCGTGGAGCTCCACCATTTACAACACGTTTATTCTCATACACCACCACAGGGGTGGGAAGTTGCCCTTTTTTGTAGATGGGCTTCTGAGGCACACGGGTTTGCCCAAGGTCAAACTCAAACTGATAGCAGGATACAGAGGAAAACCCAAGTCTCTTCAGTCTCAGGCTAATATCTTAATCACAGGATCATATTCCTTCCTTGTTGTAAATGTTACTTCAGATTAATGCCCAATTTATGCCCTGATTCTTCCCAGCACTTATGAATGTGCAAAGTTTCATTCACTGAATTCATCCCACTGGCAAGAAGTTTGCCAGTACAGAGCCAACTGGTGGCTAAAGGCATCGGGTGACATATCTCACGGGAAAGAGCTTCCCTTCTCCTGACACAGGAGACAGAATGGTACTCACACTCAATTGTCTCATTGAGAAATATCTCAGTTATATAATTATAAAGCCAAGAAAGCTTTTCCACCTGAAAGCCAAACAGTGATTTCCAAACTAACAGATGTCTTGTTAATATTAAAGGTTCCAAAAAATTATCTTACCTGTGCTTTTGCTAATGCTAGACGTCTCCTTATTGCCAAAAATACAAACAGTTCTAACACAAATAACAGGAAAACCATATGAAACTTATCATGAGCTACCTATTTTAGCTCTTTTATGTACAGTAAACACTGAAAGACTGCCTACGTCTTTGTTTGAAACTCATCTATTGCCACTGGGAGGGTGTAACAGTTTCCACTGCCCTGCTATAAAACCAAGGAGCTCCAATCTGCAGCTCATTTTAACAGCTATGCTTTTTAAATTGTGAAGGTACCAACTACAAATTGTTTTCCTGTTTCAGATGTTACTATCAGACCATGGGCTAACAAAATCCAAACCAAAGAGATTACCAGTTTGGGATTCATTCGTTTCAGAATAAAAGTGGTCAGAGGTTTTTCTCAAAATATTTCTCAAGAAAAATTGTTCCCTTATGAAATAAAATTACATTTTGGTTTCTGATTTTAAAGCATCATATATTTACGTGAACTTCATTCTTTTTAGATTATTTTTGACAGTAGTAATAGATCACAATATAGTAAAGTATCACGTTGTTTCCTTACAGCAATAGGAAGACATACTTTAACTAGAGAGAGGCTATTTCAATCTTTATTAAACAGAAACTGCCTTTAAAGATTTTTTAAAATAAAATGGGATGTATGAGCTACGGGGTTCATGTTCTGGAATAATCCTAAAATTAAAAAATAAATACTAGAATTTTAATAAAGCTTCAAACCTCTAAAATGGAATTTAAAATGTAATTAGAATTTAATTTTTTAATTTTTCAATTTTTTAAGGAATTCTAGAAAACACGTTGCCTGCAAATAGGGAAGGAGAAGTTTTAAGATGTATTTCATGCAAGCTGGAAACTGTGATTTATTTTTTACTACCTCAAACATAGCTTAAAATAGAGACATGGACATTATAACTGTGAAACTGTAGTAATTACTATGAGACCTAACTTACCCTTTCTATTCTGATTCCTTTGTTTCCCTATGAGCTCATCCAGCTCAATTCTGCTGTCACTTCTGAGAGCTCCATCCTACAATATTACCAGCACAAATCTCACAGGAATACACACACCTTAAAGCTCTCTGAGGACTGGGTGAGACTCTGGGGTCTGCTTCCTTTCATTTTATGAATTACCAAGCAAGTTCTCACACAGGACACGAACCCAAATGTGTCTGAATACAACAACCTGACCTCTGCTATCAGGTACATCCAGGTGATAAAAATTTGCCCCTGCATCTGAATTCACATGATCCTTTAATAAATTCATGCCAAGACTTTTCTTTATGGTAAACACTGGCACTGCTTATTATTTATGCTTAGACCATGATATATCATCCATCCAGCAGTGTTCCCACCTACTGTCAGGTTTCACTTCCATGTGTTAATACAGGTTGGGCTCCTAGGACCTGTCTCCCAATGGCTTCAGCCAGGATTTGTTCCAATAAAATCAGTGGAGATGACATTAGCTGCAATGGAAGAAGTCAACTTCAAAGAAAAGATCATGTTCATTCACTTACGTTTCATGAGTCCCAAAAAAGAAGATGGGGTATTTATTTGCTGGAGGCTTCACGGCTCCTTCGGGGAGTTCATCAATCTGTGAGACAGAAATGGAGAAAGGATTATTCCCTAACGTGGTGTCCCTCATCCAAGAATCCCTACCAAGTCATGGCAGTGCTAGTGCACGTATCCCACAGCCCTGTGCTGGGTGAGGAAGGGAAGGCAGCTGCTGATTTTTCAGGCAGGCAGGTCACACAAAGCCAGCATGTGACAGAAACACTACCAGGAGGTGACAGAAGACCAAGGATCCGACAGCAAGTTTTAATGATTTCATGGGCATTATAATACACAAAGGCAATAAAATCAAGTCTGCTTAATTGAAGTGTTAACTTCAGATGCTGCCTCATCAAAGGCACGGAGCCCAGAGGGTGATCCTGTCTGTCTTACACAGCCACCTAAGTGACTTCTGCAACAAATGGGGAACAGATGGTATCTCCGAGACTGCAACCGGCAAACCGGACAATCTCCCGTCGGTGCTTCCTGGTGGTGGTGGTGGTACACAGTGTAAACTGCACAAAGCAGGGAGGAGGGCTGGGACTCTCCTTCCCCTGCAGCATTCCAGTAACTGGTTTTGGTCACCACTCTCCTTTGTACTCCATCTGTTCTTTCACACTTTATCCCTGGCCTCATACTTCTCAAGATCCAGCTGCAGAGCAGCTAAGGAAGGGATGGGGAAGGTGCTCTCCTGAGATGTAACTGGGACTGGGACAAACCCTGCAGGCTGAGCAATGCCTAGATCCCATCTTCAGATGCCTGAGTGAGAGCACTTGTCACAAGGCAGGAGGTTAGGCCTATGACTTAGTCTTGCCCATATCCAATTTCTCAGTCCTCCGCAACAGAAATAAGAGAGTCCAGGTGCCTACTCACATAAACCAGAAACACAGCACAGCTTTAAATAAGATCTAAGTGCCTGCCTTCCCAGAAATGGCACTTCTGAGCATATGTGGCCGTCTAAAATTAAGTGTCCAGAGAACTCTCCTGCTAAGAGCGAGCCTAATGAATCTAGATATCTATAGGGCAACACCAGAGAGTAGGTGAATGGCTTGCTGCCTGGGTCTTACCAACTCAGTCTCAACATAAGCATACTGAATCCTGCCAAATGTCACTGGAACTGAGAACGAAGTGCTGACATACCAATGCTATACAAAATCTGCTCCTCAGCAGAGCAGGGGATGGAACCTGCATGTTTTCACTCAGGAGACCAGGCCCACATGTGCTTTCCTTCTCTCTTCCTGCCGAAGGACCCCAAACACTGAATTCTTGTTGATTAATAAACACCAGATTGTTTTCAAAGGACGTTCTCTTTCACTGTAAAGCATCTGCTGGCTACAGAGCTCTCAAAGGAGTACGAGCTTTTGTAAGAATTCAAGTCCTTTTGGTCGTTCTGCAAGGACACCCGTTGGGGACAGAGAAACGAGAGCCACATGTGGAGCTGTAACATCACAGGACTCCTTTCTGCAAAAGAAATGGATGTCTGTCTTTCAGGTCTAAGTGAAGATACACCAAAATCAGAGGATGTAAGAGTACTTCCAAACCACTCCCTGTCTCTTTTCCACATCAGGACCCAGAGGGGCAGATGGTGGGGCTCTGGCCCACTTGTCACCGTGCACTCACTGCCCATCACCTTCTGCATGAGACAATCCATGATGGTCAGAGGTGTCACACGCCTTGTGGGCACAGCAATTACCCAACTTCCTTCACTTAACAAAGCCAATGAACTGATAAATAAAAGGAGAATCTATTATTTAAATGCACATAGAAGGAAGATATACACTGGTAGAAGATGGAAGCATCCATTCCCTTTTAGCTCATCTGTGTGTAAGAAGGAACTAAACCGACATGACAGGCTGTTTGGTGTCCTCTTCACCATCAGGAATGCACAGAGGGAAGACTGCCAAAGATTTTTTTTAGAACTCATTATTTTCTGACATTAACTATTTGTTTTTAAATAAGTGCCCATATTGTGGTTATTTGTTCACTAATTCATGATTTAAATACAGGTATTAGATGATAACAGTGATAAAAACACTGATGGGAGGAACACTTTATAAACTGACAGCAAGCTGGGGAGGCAGTATGTCCCACTGTAACACTCTTTATGCCTCCTTAAAGATGGAAATATCTACGTGTCACACCAAAAAAGGCCATGCTGGCAGTTTACCAAGCACAGGGGCAATACACCTCAACTGTCTGGATGCCACAGCCATCCTCCTCTTTATTATGACAAGGAAGATGTCCAGAGAGATACTAGACTCCAGAAAAATGTGGACTCCCAGGACTGAGACAAACAATGTCTGCTGGGACTTGACTATGAACCTCATTTGGCCACTCGCAGCACAGCACCAGCTCTGGGCTGCATTACAGAGCAGCGCAGCCCAGTTACTGTCTCAGCCCTTTAAGAATTTCCCATGAAATAAAGCAAACAGCTGTAAATGATCAGTAAAGCAGAGGAATGAACACATGCTTAGTAGGGAACGCTGATCAGAAGGGAATGGGGATCTTACATCACACAACGTGCTGTGCTCCAAAGCAGTAAGGATCTTCTCCTAAGCAATATCCCTAGTGGAATTAAGCCTCACGTTGCATTCCCAGCAGTTTATACTGTTAGGTAAGGAGCAGCACCAAATTGACAAAGGACAGCACACTTATCTGTCACGCAGCTCACCTGCTCCCCATTTCGTGGTGTATTTCTTTATTCATCCAAGTATCCCCTCTGACTATGTATCATCACAGGAAACCATAAAAAAGCTTTTCATAGCTTTTGAAAGTTGGCTTACACATACAGACACATGAAGTATAAATCTGCACTAAACAGCTCAAGGATAGACTGCTAATGTTCCCACTCCAACATTTCACTGTGCAGCTGAGGTCAAGACTTTTCCTGCCTTCCCCAATTCTGCCTTCCCCAATTCATAAGCTCTCAGGCTTATGTCGCTAGCGCTGTAATGAGGTTGAATATGAAGTGCCAGTGCTATCATCTGGCCATTTAACTCCCTGGTACAAAACCCAGGGAATTTAGTGAAGGATGAGACCCTCTCCACCATTAAGAAAGATCTCTTCCTTTTTTACCCATTTCACACAAATCCCTGCATTAGAGACCGTGAGAGGAGAGCTTTGTACAGTCCACCATTCCCAGCAAAACCACCTTAACCTTTGTGAACACTGAGCCCCTAAGTGCTTGTTTAGCTGCAGAACAAGTCCAGCACTCCTTGATGATTGCTGCTGTTCTGCAGTAACAGAAAGCAAGTGGTACAAGCAACCATATTGCAGCTTCCTGCTGCTGCACTCAGTCGCAATTTATTCCCATCCTACAAGCTGTTTTGGTTAAATACGCTGAAGGTTTGGATCTGATATTTTTCCTCATATCAGCAAGATCAAAGACAGAGAGAGAGGGAGGGAGAGAGAGAAAGAGAGTGAGCGCATGAGCACAAGAGCGTTGCTGAACCAGGAACAAAAGAGATAAGTGCACCCATACTAGGACACAGTGTTGTAGTCACAGAAACCTCACTAATGACTAAAGCATCTGTCTATCTGAGAGCCGGACTGCGATTGCATTTTGCTTCTGGAAGGAAACAAACAGATTCTGAAGTACCCGTTATAACCTGCAAACAGGGGATCCATCCCCTCCTGAAGCAGAGCAGGCAGTGGGCTGGAGCCTGCTGCCACAGAAATCAGAGAGAGCCCTGCATGGCGTGCAAATCTGATATGTGCATCAGCAGCATCATGGGCAGTCGCTTCAATTATGGCTAAAATTAAAGCAGGTGGTTTCAGATTTCAAGTTTTATCCCCTTTGCTCCCGTTGCTGTCATCTGCTTAATGAATAACAATTGCTTTCTTTTTGCACAACCTCAGCAGAGCTTCCCAGCATTTGCTTGCCAACCAAGCAGCAGAGCATTAAAGATGTAACTGTGCTTTTTTTTCTTCCCAGTAAACAAATGCCAGGCTTCTAGGGTCAGGAACACTAAACAGAGAATTCAGCCTGGACCACTCAAACCAGAGCGGGGCTTTATCAAATGGTGTTGCTACGGACTACCAATGCGCGAGCAAGAAATCTGCCTCCTTACATTGCAGTTTACATGCTAGGATGTATATACAGCCTGAGTATTTTGCTCTTGGTGGTGCTGACTAATTGCTGCCTTCTCGGGTAGTATTTCCAACTAGTTCTCACAGGCTGGTTTGTCGGTACTTATACTGCAACACTTTCTTCCCAGTTGCCATGAGGTTAGGGACCCTGGGGAGAGAGGCGCTGGCTGGGTGGGTTGGACGGGATCCGCAGAGCTGCAGCCCTGCGACGAGGACGGTGCAGAGCTGCCTGCTGAGAACAACAGTGGCTCCCAGAATTCTGCACAAATCATCCCCGTGCCTGCCTGTGGGATAATGTGGCATATTCCAGACAAGCGGAGGAGCTCCCTGGGAGGGCTGTGCAGAAGCAGAGGAAGCTGCACCCCCTCCTGGGTGTTCTGCTCTGCAGAGCTCTACATTCCCTGCAAAATGGGAAACATGTCTCTCCGAGACACAGACAGAACAGCCAGCTTTGTCTCTCTGCTTGCCTATGTAAAGCAGCTTTCTGTGGAGGTTTTTGTTATTGCATCAGTCAAGAAAGGGGCAGTGACGCCCATCAAGGCGGAAGGGCATCCCAGATGCATCTTCTTCCACTTGGAGGGACAGCAGGTGTCATGTTGTATGGCTATCACAAAACCTCTGTGCTGTGCACAAACTGCTGTTCAGAAGCAGGAATTCCAGGCTGTCAGGGCGGCTTTCAGACCAGACCCTGTTCCATTATGTTCCAACAGAATTTTACACTGCAAAAAAAAAGAAAGGTATTATGCAAAAATACCTATCGGGTCCACATGTACAGACAAGAAAGCTTTACTTCAGCATGCAGAGATGCTTTTGTGGGCATTGAAACCACAAGAACAAGTCCCTTTTATTTCGCAAAAAGAGGGAATTAAAACTGCAGAGCAGTAATCACTGATTGTTTTGACATACTGTAAATGCCTTTGATTGGCAAAAGCACACAGAAGCATTGCAGAGATC